GAGCCGGAAAAAAGCAGCAGCCATGTTTATGCAAATGAAGCGGGGGGGATTTAAATCCCCGCTTCATTTGCAATTGCGATGTGTCTAATTTGCATCCCTTTTACGGAAAAAGGATGCAGTCTAGACACAGCCCTGGAGTGTAACAGGCCTCTGTGCCCTGACTAGTATGACAGGAAAGTCATTTTAAGGTCACGCAGGCAGTGATCCACTTCCTCCACACTGGTTCCTGCTGGGAGGAAGCTTTAATTTCCACCATGGTAGCCTCTAAGAGGATACAAATCTCCCAGCCATTATGACTGTGCTGCTTCCCTGATCCTGGCTGCCCACACACACATTGGCCTCTTTTAGACTCCCAGCTTCACTCTAGTGCAAACAAAACTTTGGCCCAAGCACTATTTGCTTGGAAGCTGTGCTGAGAATTTAAAATACCAAATTTATTCCTTTAAATTCCTCCCTGAAAGAGCCTAAGGATCTGTCCACATTGCAGCTGGAAGTGAACATCGCAGCCTGGGTAGATGGACTTGCACTAGTGAGACTCAAACTAGCTCATTGCCCTGGGTGGGTATTTGGACTAGCAACCTAAGATCATGCCCACTGCCACACACCTTTGGGTCTGGGGTCAGGCACTTAGCCCAAGTCTTTAGCAGAGCCATAATATCTACACTGCTATTTTTCAGGGCATTTGATTGAGTCCCTTACCACAAGTGTGCCCTTGTAACCAAGAAGGCTAATGGCATATTAGGTTGCATTAAGAGGAGCATTGCCTGCAGATCCAGAGAAGTGATTATTCCCCTTTATTCAGCTCGGGGGAGGCCACATCTGGAGTATTGTATCCAGTTCTGGGCCCCCCACTACAGAAAGGATGTGGATGCATTGGAGAGAGTCCAGCGGAGGGCAACTAAAATGATTAGGGGGCTGGAGCACATGACCTACGAGGAGATGCTGAGGAATTTGGACTTGTTTAGTCTGCAGAAGAGAAGAGTGAGGGGGGATTTGATAGCAGCCTTCAACTTCCTGAGGGGAGGTTCCAAAGAGGATGGAGAAAGGCTGTTCTCAGTAGTGACAGATGGCAGAACAAGGAGCAATGGTCTCAAGTTACAGTGGGGGAGATCTAGGTTGGATATTAGGAAAAACTATTTCCCTAGCACTGGAATGGGTTCCTTAGGGAGGTGGTGGAATCTCCATCCCTAGAGGTTTTTAAGTCTCGGCTTGACAAACCTTGGCTGCGATGATTTAGTTGGGATTGGTCCTGCTTTGGGCAGGGGGCTGGACTTGATGATTCCTGAGGTCTCTTCTAGCCCTAGGATTCTAAGTTTATTTACCCTGGCCGGGAGGATTAGTGCCAAGGCAGACATACCCTAAGTTGTGACTACCTGTTCTTCAAAGAGAATTTGGGATGGCTTCTTTCGTTATATAAAGGTGTTCCTGAGGGAAGAGGGATTCTCAGCAACAGAAATAATGCTTCCAAATAAATGTACATTTCCAGATCTTGTATGTGAATGTCAA